TAACTTTTGGTAGCTTTGTAGAAATGTCTGTACCAGGGAGAGTGTTTGAGTTGTCATTGTTCAGTTTCATTATTTTAACAGAGAAAAAAATTACACACTTCACATTTGACATTGTATAATTGTCAAAAAAGATCTCCACTATAGTCATTTCACAGATCGTAAAAAAAAAAGTACAGTACATTTCAAGCTTCTCATTTCTCCATAGGTGTGAAATCTGTGGTTTCACTTGCCGTCAGAAGGCCTCCCTTAACTGGCACATGAAGAAGCACGACGCCGATGCCACGTACCAGTTCTCCTGCAGCATCTGCGGCAAGAAGTTCGAAAAGAAGGACAGTGTAGTGGCTCACAAAGCTAAGAGCCACCCCGAGGTGCTCATTGCTGAGGCCCTGGCTGCCAATGCCGGAACACTCATCACCACTCCTGCTGGAGTCACCACGCTGCTGGAGACCTCCACGGGCTTCATGCAGGCAGAGCAGGTGGTCCCTGATGCTCAGGGGAGCTCTGCGATACCTGCAGATCAGGTAGCCCCAGTGACACACGTGGGTCCAGTGATGGTTGTGGATCAGGATCACCCGCTACACACCATGCAGGTACCGGTGACCCTGGCCAGGTCGTCGACAGAAGAGGAAAACAGCGCTCCCTCACAGCAGACGTCCGCTCACTCTCTGCAGATGCCACTACAGTTCGTTTCGACTCCCGTCTCGCAGCAACACCATATCCAGCAGCTACCCATTCAGCCCTCCACTACCAGCGTCACCCAGCAGGCCGCTTTGGTCCAGCAGCTGCCCATTCAGTCCTACAGCCCTCAATCCCAGATTGTCCACATGGCCTTCAGAGCTCTTCCTCAGCAGCAGCTCCCACTGGTTTCTGTTGCACAGCAGCTGCCTCTTCAAACCACCCAGTCACATCAAAACCAGACCCTCCCTAGACCCCCAAGCCACATCCCGGCTCCCAATACTTCCCTACTCTCCCAAACCCTGCCTGCTGACTCCCGGAGCGTTTTGGGATTCGGGAGCGATCCTGCATCCTTATCTGCATCTCCCCAGTCTTCCACTACTCCTTTAGAGACGAGACAGGTGGTCTGGGAGGGAGACGGGACTAATGAGAATGGAAATGGGGGTGGGGTTTGGGAGGTGGGTGGAGAGCGGGAGGAGCAAAACATGACGGACAGTTCAGACGGCCAAATACAGCGTGTTCTAATGTAGTGAAGGAAGGA